GCCATCTTTGGACCACAAGCTGCTCAGACCTAAGTCCCTTAACCTATATACAAACTGATAGGCTTTTATTTTGAAGGTTTGCACTGTCTTAAGCTGAGAGTGCTTTCCTTGCTGTGTGCTTTTATTTTGAAATACAGTAAGGAGCTTCCTGTAGATGGAAGATAAGGACATGAAGTTAAGCACAGAAACAGGAAGTGGTTAGAGATCCCAAACTGAGGTCAAACAGCTCAAAGGAACGGTAACAAAGGTCAATGTGTGATGTCATCAGGTCACTGTGTGATGTCATAAGGTCAATGTGTGATGTCATCAGGTCAATGTGTGATGTCATGAGGTCAATGTGTGATGTCATGAGGTCACTGTGTGATGTCATAAGGTCAATGTGTGATGTCATAAGGTCAGTGTGTGATGTCATAAGGTCAATGTGTGATGTCATCAGGTCAATGTGTGATGTCATGAGGTCAATGTGTGATGTCATGAGGTCAATGTGTGATGTCATGAGGTCAGTGTGTGATGTCATGAGGTCAGTGTGTGATGTCATCAGGTGGATATTACTGTGTGAGAGTTTGTTAAAGTGAAATGAGACGTTCAAAGATGCAGCAGTGTTCTTCTTGTCCATCAGTGAGACTACAGGGAGACACTGAGGACCACTATCTACGGAGAGCCTGAAGGGACAAACAGGAGATTAATGTGATTAACTGGTTAACGCTGACAGCTCGTATTTATTTGTTTTATTTCATTACTTTGTGAAAATACGCTCAGTATAATATTTGTTATCACTGATTTTCACGACGTTGTTTGACAGCAATGATGTCATCATCGGGGGCGGAGTCATGTCTGAAATGTTTTATTATCCTGCTGAATGAGAGAAACTTTAATTTAAGGTTTATTTTTGTGCTTTTATTGTGAAAGGACAGAGGATAGAGTCAGAAATCAGAGAGAGAGAGAGAGAGAGGGGAATGACAGGAAAGGAGCCTCGGGTCGGATTTGAACCCAGGCCGCTCGCTTGGAGGACTACAACCTCCGTACATGAGGGGCGTGCAAACTAACCACTAGGCCACCGGCGCCCCAAACGAGAGCACTTCAGAGTCCACTCCAGAGAATATGTGAACATCAGACTGAAGTTCCTGAAGCTGCAGACAGAAGAGGAAGAATCAGGGAGTCTGCTGGAAAACATGAGAAAGAAGTGAAGTTAGTTTTGAATGTTTCCGTCAGTCTTCTTCACGTTGAACACAAACCCAGTATCAGATCTGAAACCAGCTTCAGTGTCCTCGTTCTGAGGATCCAAGTGAAAAGACGTCTCAGGACGATTCAGGGACTGAAGTCAGAAGAAAGCAGCCACGTTTATTTTCCACAGGGGAAAGAAATGTGGTTCTAATATCTGTGAGTTATTGTCCCACATGTTGAAGTAGCTGCTGCGTTTAGTGAGAGACGAAGGAAACAAACATGAAGGAGGAAACTTCAAACATGTACAAACTGTTTCATTATTGATGTTTGTTTTCATTTCTTCACTCTAAACTGACGGGAGACTAAAAAGTGGGACCAAACTTGAAGTGTGAATCAGTTCAATGATGGTTCCTGGTCATCATTTGATCCCTTACAGACACATGTGGACTTTAAAGTGCAGTTTGTATGAACGATGTAAACATGTTGTTCATCACGTCACAGAGAGAGTCCTGGATGATCAACATGTTGGAGTGAACGTCGTCTTTACACGCTCTTTCTTCACTGCAGCAGAGTGTTGCTGGATCACAAACTGAACTCAATTTAAACCAGATTTCAGTTTGAACTTGAAGAGAAACTTTACATGAAAACATCAGAGACATGTTGACATGTTTCAATCTGAAACCAGGAGGTCAAAAAAGTCTTCAGCTCCACATTTACTTTAAGAACCAGTGTGTGTTTCACTGTTGTCCACTAGAGGGCGCTGTCAGCTTGATCTGCACCTTGTTTAAAGGTCATCTCGCTGCATACAGTCACAGTGTTTAACTGATCACATCTGAAGTTTCATTTCAAACTGTTTTTAGTGTTTATTTAAAGATTGTTGATCCTTTAATGAGCTAAAGTTCCAGTTTCAGTCGTCTCTGAGAACATGAGAGGTTTAAAAACTCTCCGTAAATGATCCTTAAAGTATAAAAACAGCTCTTTAAAAAACGCTGAGACGAGTTAAACTCCTTTATTCAAAAGTCCTGCAGGTCAAAGTGTCAGGTGAATAAACTTCAAGTAGTTTAAAGCATCATGAAACTCTAAACTGTGACGCAGTAAACAGTGGTGAGATGAAGTCCAGATGTGATGTGTGTAAAGATCCAGATGTTGACGAGCAGGAGGTGAAGATGGTCCTTTGGGTGCTCAGAGTGTGCTCACATGTAAACAGTGTGAAGTGGATTCAAAGTTTGTCGGTGCTGATGAGCAGCTCGTCTCAGAAACAGGACGAAGCTCCAACATCAGCCTCCTCACTGCTGAGAGCCAAAAACCAAAAGGAGGCTGAGAGCCGAGCAGGAGGAGACTGAGCATCAGAGCAGAGCTGACGTCACACTGCTCACACACACACACACACACACACAGAGACACACACACACACACACAGATAGAGACACACACACACACACACACACAGAGACACAGAGACACACACACACACACACAGAGACACGCACTCGCGCACACGCACACACGCACACACACACACACACACACCTGCTGTTCTCTGTGTGTCCAATGTGACGTCCAGTCTGATCTGAGTGTGATATGAAACTACACTCTGAGTGATACACAAACTTTTTGTTTCTGTTTCAGGTTTCTCTGCTGGATATGTCGTTACTGCTGTCGTTGTGACATTCGTCATCACTCTTATTGTTGGTGTCATCGTCCAAGCTGCTCTCTTTGTCACAGGTCGCATCAGTTGTCGTAAAGGTAAGTTAAAGAACATAAAGTCTACCTGTGTGTCTCTCTTTAAGAGTCTTGTCAGAATCTCCTCAGTCTTCAGTCTGTTTTTCACTCTCTCAGTCAGATCAGTCAGTCGTGATTTTCTTGAACATCATTTCGTTTTTTCTTCCTGCAGACGAGGAGAAAGGTGAACCCATAAAAGACCGCACTGAATCCGACCTTCTAGCTGAATGAAGTCAGGTAGACTCACGTCGTGTTCCTTCAAACCTCTGACTCTGGAACTCCAAAGTTATTGAAGCTAATCTGCCTTAATCCCAACATGAAGATGATTTCATCTGTTTGACCATCATGATGTCATACTTGAAAACAGCTGAGTGAGGGATCAAATCCAACCAGGTGTTTGTTCTCACATTTTAATGAACGCCGTGGAGATCGGGCTTTTTCCAATCAGAGCCCGTCGACTTTGGAACGACCTGAGGAGCATGTTCATGACACATCCTTACACCTCTAACGTTTACTCTGCTTTAAATACACTGCAGCTTTAATGCATGATCATTTCATTAATATCATCTGTGAATGGAATCCAGGGTTTAAAACATAAAGGTCTCCCTGTGAACATCCCAGAGAGCCTCTGACTGAGGATTTAAAGAAACACTTTGAAAAACAGGATTGATGTGAGAAAGTGTGAAATAGAAGTCCCTGTTTGTGTTTGCTCTCCTGTTGATCCAGTGTGTGAATGAAGAAATGAGAGCAAAGGCGCTTTACGACTGACGGAGAATCAAAGCCTCAGTACTTCACTGAACTACAGCTGCTGTTTGACTGTAAATACATGAGATTCTGTTGCTGCTACACTGAGATATAATGAGACTTTAAGATGTGGGACGAGGATGTATCTCTTCTTTAGACTTTATAAAGCCGAGTGTGTCAGGTAGAGACAAACACAGAGCTGAAGTATGCTCCTAAACGTTTCTTTATGCTGCTGATGAATGACGCTCTGATGGTTACAACGTGATATCAGGCTGTGCTTCATCATTCACATCCACCTGCTGGAATAAAACATGATCAATGTTACACTGTGTGTTGGGACTGCTTCTTATGGAGCAGGATTTTTAGGATCAATTAGTGAGTTCACATCATGACTTTGTTGTTTTCTTATTTTTTAATATCAGGATTCATCGTTTTATGTCTGGTTTGAATTTTTAAATTCTAAATTCAGACTTCAGATCTGTTTCCACATGTGGCACTTCTCCTCCTGTAAGTGTTTGATGTCTGAAGAGAAGAAATCAAGAATATTTATATGAAATAAAAACATTATAAACTGTAAACATGATGAGATAAACATCAATCTAAGTACATGAAGAAAACAATCAGACATTAGATAGCCTTTACATTCTTTTAACATCAGGACGTTTCACCAAATATATTCTTGTAATATTTAAAAACAATTGTTTGTCTCCAGAAGATGATGAGGGCCCGACATGAGAGAGAAGATTCTATTCTTGACATTTTGACTTTTTTTAAGGAGCCTCTGAAGTCTCCAGAAGTGAAAACTTTTATTCTGTGTGCAAAACACAATCATCTTTTTCTCTGTTATTTTTTAATCTTTTTGTCATTATTGATATTACAGCTGAAGAGAGACAACATGAAGCAAAGGTCAGAGGTCAGTGTCAGATAATGTTCAAAGTGCTTGCACATAGTGCTGGGCGATATATCGTGAAGCTCGATTCGATCGATATTTAATTAATACTTGATATGGAAAAGGGAACATTGATTTTATTTTTTAAACTACTTCAAAGTTTTCTCGCGAGATTTCGTTGCTCCGCGAGATTTCCGCTTGTTGCTCGGAGACGAAAGGGCGGAGGAGACTTCACTCCTGCTGCTGAGGAGCCTCGCTCTTATAAGCGACCAACACGGAGGAGAAAGAGAAAGATGAGAGCGAGGCCCAATTACTAAAATAAAAGGTTCATAACGGAGGACTGGGACAAAACATGTTCACGTGACATACATTACAGTTTTGTAGCTAAAATATGCAAAATATATTTAAAAAATAATAATAAAAATCCTAAACAGGAAAAGGGTAGCACAACAAAGTATGTTTTGATGTTGTCTTACATTTTGTTTTTATTCTAAATGATATGATATGTGACCAGTACTTAGAAAAACCCATGTCCGGGAGCAGATCTCGTCACACTTTAATACTTTAAAAAGTCCAAAAAGTAATATAAAATTTAACTTTATCATTATTAGGTGTAAATAGTATAGTATTTATTACACAAGCATTAAAAAAAACAATTTTGAATTTTCTTTAATGTACTTTCTGGTCCAATGAACATGTGTCCGGAGTTTTTGTCAACACCGTCAGACTTTTCTTAAATTGGGAAAAGAAATCAGGATAATTTAGGGCAGCTATATCTCAAAGGACCCCTTTCCCTCCTCCCTGGTCTTCCTTATGCCATGAGAAAATTTTAGCTCTGGTAAGTCTTTAATAATACTTTGTATTTCATATCTATTTACTAATGTGCATGTGTCACAACCATAGCGTATCAACTCCAAAATGACTAAAAGTCAACATCTGTGTAAAGTTTTCTGCAATATAGCCTTAATTTATATAGATTCACTGGGTCATGACCAACAGATGTTAAAAACAAGATGGCTCCTGTGAGAATCATGTGTGATATATGGAGAAATGTGCTATTTTGTCAACACCATCAGACGTCAACACCATCAAAATGTTTGTCTGATGGTGTTGACGCAGTCTCTGATGGTGTTGACTAATGCCATTTTAGTGTCCAATTTAAGCATTTTAATGTAGTTAAAACCAATAATATCACCTATGCATTTTATTGCTATTGTAGTTTCATGTGTCAAATTCAAACTAGTTTTGATGTACAGCAGCCTACTTGAATGTGTTTAACTGAATTTCATTGAAGTTGTCTCTCAACCTGATATGTAATAAAGTGTTGCATGTGTTTCCATAATAAAGAACTGATTGCAGAATGGTATGCATTTCAGGCTAGAATGGCTAGACAGAAGTTGTCAGTGGAGGAGCAAAAGAGAAGAAACAGAGAGTATCAAAAGAGAAGGAGAGAAAAACTTAATAGCCAGCCTGAGCTGAAGGAGGAGTTCCTGACAAAGGAGAGGGAAAGATGGAGAAACAGGTTGATAAGGGCAAAATTAAAAAGATCAATGATTTGGAAAAGAGAGCAAAAGAGGCAAAAGAGAAAGTATTGGAAACAGGCACAGAAAGAATCAAGAGAACGAAAGAAAAGAGCTGAGGAAAGGCAGCAAGATTTAGATACTCCGCCAGAGAGTCCTTTAGACATCAGCGTTGAGGAGCAGACGAGCAACAGGCAACTGTATGCTGGTTTGAGGGAGAGAGCTAAAACCAGAAAAAGACATTCCAGAGAGATTAAAGCATTGACAGACAAACATGATAAATTGGCAAAAGAAGCTGACAAGCTGAGAAAACGACTTAAACGCATAAAGCACACTCAGGAAGGCACAACTCATAAGAATGCTCAAGACTCGCCTCGGACCCAGACTGAAAAGATGATTGAAGGGAGCAGACTCAGAAATCCTTGAATAAAAAGGTCATTGCTCTTCCACCATGCAATGACTGCAGAGCTGAGAAGAAATGCTCCTCAAAAAAGAAGCAAGCTTGCATCACAGCATCCACAGCTGGCGTTGTCTGGCAGAATTCTCAAGAAATATCGACTGATGCACCGGGTTCATGAATTTGGCTTGACATATAAAACACTGAGAGAAAAGTTACTGAACCAAAGGAAGCCTTCATTCCTTAAGACTATCTCCCATAATGTCCAAACGTTTTTGGAAAACAATGCAAGGATAACTACAGACAAACAAGACACCATCACTAGGAAGAAAGTAAAACATCAAAGGATGATTCTGACCGACACAATGCTAAACCTTCACACTGCATTTCTCCACCAGAACCAAGATGTAAGGCTTAGTTATTCATCTTTCTGTGCATTGTGCCCATTTTACATCACACCCCCAAGAGCCTCTGATCGAAAGACATGTCGATGTCAGTACCATGAGAATGCAAAGTTGATGCTTGAAGTCCCACAATGTTGTGTCAACTACCAAACTTGAAGAGAGTTTCCATCTTGTGTGTTGTTCTCCAGCAAGTGAATCATGTCTTTTACGCACCTGCTCTCGATTCCAAAACAATATACAGGTCTTTGTGCAGAGCTAGGGAAAACACAAGTGGAATGGGAGCAGTGGAAGCGCATTGAGGAGCAAACAGAAGCTGGAGTTCACTTCAACACGAAACTGGTGAAACACACTGGTACTCTATCAGAGCTTATGATTCTCTACCAAGACAAACTAAAAAATGAGACGACCACCCATGTCCACTTGGTGAAAAACCAAACCAAAGAGTACAGGAACATGATAACTAACTGTGATGATACCACCGTTATTGTGCATGTGGACTTCTCTGAGGCCTGGAAATGTAAATACCTCAGAAATACAAGCCTGTCACTGGTCAAAACCTTCCACAGATCACACTTCATACGGGCATGTTCCACACCAAGCATGAAAAGGCAGGATTCTGCACCATCTCTCAGTCCAAGCGCCAGGATGCTGCAGCCATTTGGACACATATGCATCAAATCCTGACAGATATTCATGCAAGATTTCCAAATGTTGAGACAGTACACTTTTGGTCAGATGGTCCAAGCAAACAGTATAAAAACAAAAAGAACTTTCTCCTCCTCTGTGCTGTCCCTCCCCGGCTTGGATTCAAGAATGCAACTTGGAATTTTTTTCCAACGTCACATGGCAAGGGTGCCCCTGATGGCATTGGGGCAACAGTGAAGAGATGTGCTGACAGTATAGTTCTTATAGGTCAGAAGATCGTTGATGACAAGGACTTTTATGACAAGGTCTCCAACAGCCTACGTGGAATAAAACTTCAACTTGTCACCAGTGATAACTTAAAGACATATGACAATCTCCTTGTGCAACCCTTGAAATCTATCCCCGGAACAAGGAAGATCCATCAAGTTCAAGTTCACAGCAACTGGAATAGGCCCCAGTGATATCCAGAGTGAAGATTGGCTTGTTGTCATGTATGACCAGTACTGGTGGCTGGCTAAAGCCTTAGCAGTTGACCCAGAGCATCATGATGTTCAAGTTGAATTTTTTCATCCTCATGGGCCAAATGTCCGTTTCCAGCAAAAACAAGGACGACCGGATATCTGCTTTGTGCCATTTCCAGATATTATGGTTAAGCTGAGTGAGCCATCTTCCCCAGTTCGTATAAGCAGCACCAGGGAAGTATATCACATATCTCCTGAGGTCATGGATTTCATTGAAGGGGAACACCTGAATCATCTCTTACCTGGTGTTTAAACTCAACTTCAAAGAGATGCTCACATTGAATACATGCAATGATTTAGAATTAGTTTGTCAGTGAGATCTGTTTTTTAAAAGAATACAAGGCAGTTTTTCAGTTCCAGTTACTTTTTTCAATTTTTGAGCCCTTTTTCAAGAAAAGAATAATAACGTCACATTTTCTTCATTTATTCCAGTATTAGAGTTTTGTGAGAGTTCAGAAGACATTTTGAATGAGATTTTTCCAGTTCATGATCATTTTATCGTTCTGCAAATTTAATTTGTCAACTCCATCAATGCCTTGTCAACTCCGTTAATGGCTTGTCAACTCCGTCATATAGTCTTTATGAAGTATTTCTTTAAAAAGTACATCTGTTTTATTCCATGAAGGACATTTGTTCAGAGACTTACATATTTCTAATGTTCATGTGTATTCTTTATGCTTAAAAATGTTACTGTTAAGTCTGAAGGTTAAAGACAAATCTATGATTGAAATCTAATTTCATCTATGAAATTTCAATGATATTCATTAAACACTGACTTCTCTGACTTAAAATGGTAAAATGGTTTTAAAACCATCAGATCCCGACAAAAGCCGAGTTTAAATCAGAATTCAAAGAATAGAAATCACCTGAAGAGTGGAGAGTGACAGCAGGATGAAAACAGAGAAAAGTTTGATCCACAGTGACAGACAGCTGGAGGAGCTGGAACAC